CTCGGAAGGAAGGTTGGGCAATCTACTTCCATAGTGATACTGCCTCAGAAACCCAAGGTGGGGTCACTATGAGTTGGATACGAATCAACAGCAGGAGTTTGGGAGTTCTGGTGGTGTAGTCCTAAGGCACTTGACTGCTAACCAGAAGGCTGGCGGTTCAAACCCACCAGCCACTCCTTGAAAGGAAGGTTGGGAGATCTACTTTCATAGGGATACTGCCTTGGAAACCCAAGGAGGGGTCACTGTGAGTTGGATCCAACTCGACAGCAGTGGGTTTGTTTGTTTGTTTGTAAGGAGTTCTTAAGGAGCCCTAGTGGTGCAATGGTTAGGCACTTAGCTGCTAACCAAAAGGTCAATGGTTCTAACCCACCAGTGACTCTGCAGGAAAAAAGATCTGGTGACCTGCTCCCATGAAGACTGTAGCCTAGGAAAAATCCTATGGGCCAGTTCTACTCTGTTCTACTCATACAGGTCTGTTTGAGTCGGAATTGCCTCAATTACAGGTAACTAAAACAACAGTGAGCTCTCATGGAGTCTCAGTAATGGAGGCAGGAATAAGGGGCTCGTGTGCTCGTGTGATTCAGATTAGTTAAAAGGGAATGTGGATTAAGGGTTTTCTTGACCACACGAGGGTGTTTCAAGGCTAAACAAGTAGATGATAATGGCATTGAGTGCTTTCCCAGGATGCTATAAAGATTTTTTTTTTTTTTTAATTATCTTAAAGTCTTCTCTTTCCAGAAACAGTCTTTGTAATATGGGTCTCTGTGACATTAATAGTGTTGCCTTGGCATCAATCTAGATTCCACATTTGAAACAAAAAAGACACAAAATTTATCCAGACAATTAATGTAGAGACCTGCTATTTTCAGAGGAAAATGACATTCACTTGCACAGAATCAAATTATTTACATAAAACTAGCATCTGGTGGAATTCAAATAACATTTTGCAGCTCTTGATGTTTTTCTATCTTGCCTTAGAATTGTTTCCTAAGACACAATTATTCTTGAGCTAATTTTAGATATTGAGTTATTAAAATACTGGTTTTGCATTTAGTGTTGCTGCAGCAAAATGACTCGTGACAATCCAGGACATATAAAACAATGTATTAAACAAATGACAGTTCATCTCAAATTGTATGCTATCAATAAGAACTTCACCTTGTATTTCGCATTTGCAGAAAAGCTGGTCCTCCACCGGACAGTGTAAAGTCGCACCTCGGACGTTTTCTGGTTCTTAGGAACAGAGTTGTCTGCCCAACTGACCCTCACAGCATCATGGGTAAGAGCCACAGCCTGTACACCTACTGGTGGGAGCATGGGGGTGGAGATATCTGGGACCGAGGTGGGGAAATCATCAAGCAAAGGATAATAATCAACTGGGTCAGTGGGATCTGGGTTCAAAACCCACCAAATGAAACAAACAAATAAATACACAAAGAAAAGTCAAAAATAAATATCAGTGGTAACACATCACAATGAGTTAAATGCATGGCAATAATGATGAAAGGGAACATGAGAAGAATAGAAAAAAATGCCATTAATTCAATCGGAAAACACATTGGAAACAGTATTGCTATATTACAAGTATAACTGAATATTTTCTATAATTCATTCATTTCCTTAGAGTGATTGTCCCAATTTGGCTGTCACTTCTCATATATTTTAAAAGTCTATTTCTTGGAATGTTGCACATTGTTTTTTAAAAGATCTGGTAAATAATTTATCAGTTTTATACAAATAATTTAAAATAGCAACAAAAAAATGTCTCTTGGGTGTATCTGATTAATTTTTTCCTGTAAAGAAATAAATACCTATCCAATAAATGTTTTTTTTTCCCTTCTCTTTAACTTGACTTCGTATGACTAATGCTGTCATTGCTTACATAGCTTATATGTGCAGAGATATTTTTTAGACAAGAAACAATAACGAACAAAGCACACTGAGGTCCACAGTCAGCTGTCTATGACTGTGATTACCAAGCCAGAGGGACAGAGTCCACAGGGGCCATTTGCATATTTGCTAAGTAGGTTTCAGGTAGTACCTGGTGGGACAGGTTTTCTCAGCTGGGAATCCTCAGTGAAAGTGCAGAAATGTCTAATTTTACATATATTCACACAGAGTAATTGGTAAGATGTAGGCCCTTCAGGCATTCCTCTTTTCTACCACCCTTGCTGTAAAGTTTCAAGTCTGGTGGAGACATTTATGTTATTGAACAAGGAGACAGACTAACTATCCGGAGACTGATGAGATTTGCAGTGCGGTATACATATGCTTAGGAGCTCTGGTAGCATAGTGGCTAAAGCACTTGACTGCTAACCAGAAGGCTGGCGGTTCAAACCCACCAGCCACTCCTTGGAAGGAAGGTTGGGCAATCCTACTTCCGTAGTGATACTGCCTCGGAAACCCAAGGAGGGGTCGCTATGAGTCAGGCCCGACTTGACGGCACATAACAACAACAACAACATACATATGCTTTGACCCATAACATCATTAGAATCTGCATTCTAATTATGCCAGGTGTGTTTTGAACAAAATTATATAGAAAATTTGTGGTCTCATTTTCATGCTGGAGATATGAGAATCTGAGAAGTATACTTTGTGGTCATAATGACAGTCAGATTTGGGGCATTTTACTTTATACTTAAGACACGTAAATTTTAAAACTTTACCTCTATATTGTGTAATGTGTATCCTCACTAATAGACCGAGGGATGTGATCACACAGCTGTAAGGCTGTGCACACAGTGACATTTTGGGAGATGAGACCCAATAAAATGTCATGTTCTGCAGTCCTGTATGTACAGAATTTATTTTTTAAATGGCTTAGTTCAAAGCAGGGAGGCTGCTGGCTGGTTTTGATGATTACTTCACTTTGTCCACTGCATTTCAAATGCCTATCACTTATTCATCACTCTGTTTTCCAATGAATTATTTAGTCTTCTACCGGGCTGTGGTCTTTAGAGCAAAATATTCTAACCCGAAAACAAAAATAGAACAAAAGGAAAGAAAAAAATTAAGAGTGCAAGAGAGAGGAGAGAGAGAAGAAAAATGTGAGTTTAAAATTTAATGATGGCGTGCACGCTTCCCTATTTCCTTTGATGTCTCTTTTTATTAAGATTCCTTTAAACCCAAATGGATTTATGAAATGATGAAGGGGCACCGAAGACACTGCCCCTCCGTGAGGATCTTAATCATTTGTCACGTTTGTGGATTGGTGGCAGGTAGTTTTGCCAAACTAAAGCATGTGCTGTCTCACTGGACTCGTTCTATTCCTGGTGGCTTTCCAAGAAGAGTGCAACACACAGGAGAAGGGTATCATGAATTATGAACACCTCTTTGACGTTTCGTATAACAGCGGGTTAAGGATTCCTGGTTGCAGAGTGTTTAAGTACTGTGTTGCTACCTGAAAGGTCATCAGTTCAAACCCACCAGCTGCTCTGGGAAAGAAAGATGCGGTAGTCTGCTTCTGTAAAGATTTCAGCCTTGGAAGCCCTATAGGGCAGTTCTATTCTGTCTTATAAGGTTACTATGAGCTGTCATTGACTTGGGGGCTCTGGTGGCATAGGGCCTAAGGCATTTAACTGCTAACCAGAAGGCTGGTCGTTCAGATCCACCAGCCACTCCTCAGAAGGAAGGTTAGTAATCTATTTCTGTAGTCAGATCCGACTCAACAACAGTGAGTTTGGTTATTCCAGAGTTATCCTATTTGCTACTTCTTAGTTTAACTCAGTTTTGTTGATAAATGCACATTATCTTTATAGTGTTACACAGCTACCATCAATATGATTTTGAAATGTAGTTTGTATTTCAAGAAGTGCTAACATTCAATCTGGTATTTTAGGGTAGTGTACTTTTCATGCTTAGTAATTTCTTTTTGTTGAAATCAGTTCCAGAACAGTTCTCTCAAATTTCTATTGCTATTTTTCTGTAGACTTACATAATTCAGAAATTCCTACCCTTGGCCAATTGTCTCCCATTTTATGGAGTAATTGTTTAAAAATTACTCACCACTTCCTCTAGAGTTGTGCTGTCTAATACAACAGCCACTAACTATGTGGAGTAATCTGTTGTTCAAAATTAAATAAAATTACAATTCCAGTACCTGTGTTGCACTAGCCTGTTTCCAGTGCTCTTATGGCCACATGGGGCTAGTGTCAACTGCATTGGAGAATGCAGATACAGAGTATTTCCATCATAGCAAAGCATTCTCATAGACAATGCTGCTCTAAACATATGCATATGCTACTGCATAGCTAATTGTCTTTCTCTCAGGTCAGAAACTGTTTGAGTCATTGAATGAAAAGCATTGTTTTCCTGTTAAACCTTTTTTTCTTTTCTTTTTCAGTTGTCAGTTTATTACTATTATTTTCCTTTCTCCTCCTGGGTGCCCTAGTTGCTGTTGATTTTCAGTAGTTATATTCAAAAGAATAAAGCAGAGCAAAATACAATTTAAATAAATAAATAAAAAGACCAGATCCAGCCTCACACCTTTTGCTAAAAAGAGAATCCTATACAATTCCTAATAGATGTGTTGGTTAGAGCCCACAGATTTTCAGTTGATATACTAAAGTTCACCCTGGGCTCTACAAATAGTGACACAATTTTCCATCTGCATTGTACAACATTAAAGCTTTGATAAAACATTTGAGAATAAACAAATGCAAACAACACACCTCATTATTCCCCTGCCCTTTTCCCCTTCCTGACCATCAAAATGTAGTATTTTCACAACAGCAAGAAATGAGAGGCTTCACAGCCATAATGGAAGTCTTAACCCACCTTGATATGGTATAGCTTTCAGCAACTCAAATGCTGATCTGCTAAGTATGACATAGGGGTTCGTAGTGCACCAACATCTATGAGTATGTATGTGTGGAAAATATCAAAGCCCAAGGCTTCCTCTAGCTTGATGCATTTATAGCCCCTGATTTATATATTATATGTATACACACACACACACACACAGAGCTCTGGTAGCGTAGTGCCTAAGGCACTTGACTGCTAACCAGAAGCCTGACAGTTCAAACCCACCAGCCACTCCTTGGAAGGAAGGTTGGGTAATCTACTTCCACAGTGATACTGCCTTGGAAACCCAAGGAGGGGTTGCTATGAGTCGGGTCTGACTCAACAGCACATAACAACAACATACAGACACACATACACATACACACACATATATGTATGTATATACTTTGTACTGTCCTTTTTCCAAGGCTGCTCATGAGAATACTTTGCAGAAATTCAGCCACAGAATGTCTTCCACATGGCATTACAATATTGGTAGAGTTTCTCCTAGAATCTTAGCCTCCAATCCTGTTATCCATCCTTTATATTCTCCATGACATATAGAAACACAAGATAGTAATTCTGCCACATTCAGTAAAATTGTCTGCTTGTTTTTTTTTTTTTTTTTTAAAGGTCTAGTTTTATTCATTCCTTTCTAATCCTTTATTGGTATTTGAGTTGTCACCTTGCACAATTTCCAACTTTTGGTATTATTTCATTTCTCAGCTTCATTAGGATAAGAGTCATATCAAGAAAAAAATTGCCTTATGGATCACTGGCATTTTAGAAACTACTCTGGGCATGCCATATGCTGAGAATAAGAGAGTGATGACAAATGCTAAGGACAAAACAGCTACTACTCTCTCCAGTGGTTCTCTCTGAGTGACATACCTCCAGCTTATTTGAATGTTTCTACCTCTGCTACCACTAATTTCTGTTCAAATACTCATTTTCATTTGTCACTCCAGTTACTCTTCCTTGTGGGCCTGAGTTTTGGAAAATGAATAAGAGTTAAACAATAAAGACTGCCCATAGAATAATTTCTTGTGACCTGATCACAAGCTTACAGTCAACATCTTTTATTATAGGCAGGGAAAATATGCCTTACTGAATATAATTTATGAGAAGCACAGGTACATTCCAAGTGCTCTATCATATTCCAAATAACCTTTTTTTGCAGGTGGAGCAAGAGAATTAGGGGAAGTGAAAATCACAGTGACTCAACATGTTATTCCATAAGTTTCTTCCTGGGCCTTTATTTGCCACACCTCTCTGGAGACAACATGTTTGATAGTAAATTTTCTCTAGAGTAATGTTTCTTACCCTTTTGGGTGAGCCATGAGTCTCTTCGAATACTTAATGAAAGTTATACTCTCTCTGTTCTAAGGCAATATCTCTATGGGAGTAGATTGCCCAATCTTCCTTCCAAGGAGTGGCTGATGGATTTGAACTACCAGCCTCCTGGTTAGCAGTCAGATGCCTTAGGCACTACGCCACCAGAACTCCTACACTCTCCATAGATAAATGCGTATATGTACATGTATCCAACATTTTGTATACCACCTTAGACAACTTGTAGACCTCAAAGCCAATGGCCAAAGATTGAACGAGTCTCCACAATAACAACTTTACCAGAAAATCTGGTTGAAATCAATAAAGCAATGATGTACTTTGGAAACCAATAGCTGAATTCACATAACTACATTCTCAAGATAGTTTGTTGATAGACTTTGTGGATTTTGGAAAAAAACTGTACAATGTCCATATAGAGTTGGGTGGTAGTGACAGCTTCAGGGTCCCACTACTTATTTTATATCCATTTATTCTTACTTCTCAAGACTTAGTACTGAGGTACCCAGTACCTTTTCATGGTCTCTGATGATCACTGTTAAATCCTGTTTTCAAACTTGTTTGTCTCATTAAGAAGAAAATAGTTGATAACTTAAATGAGGTTTGAGGGTTGTAGATTTTGGGAGAGGACGGGATTCAAACCTTAATTAAAGAGATGAATCTCTTGAATTTTTCTTTTGTACTGCCTGTTGGTACAGTTTAACTCAAATACGAATAGAGGTGATGAGCCCTTGAAGCAAACAATCCTTTGATGCCCAGAGGTCTGGGGAATGGTGGAGGGATCATCAGGCCCAGCTAAGGAATTAGCCACCTGTGTGATTCAGCCTAGTCCAAAGCCGCCTCACAAGAGTAGTTCATCTTTGTGGGCTTAGCTAGAAGGGCCCTCTGCAGAAAAACAACTGTCCAGCTGAGTACCTGGCAATCTATATGCTGGCACCTCCTGCCCACATTTCATTGGTGTGAAACAAGATGCTCAAAAATGAGAAGAGTCATATCAGGATGCCACAAGTAGGAAGTTACTGGGAGGTGAGAGAATAATACACCCACATTCTCTCAGTCTATGAGATCTTGCCATTTAATTTTGAAAATTTCTGTTTTATTTTGTATTCATTTATTTTACTTTTTCACCACACTCACTGATTACCTAGTCAGAAGAGGGTTAATTTTAGCTCACCTGTCATAGATCTAGTGGTGGCACTTTCATAAAGAGGAACTCCTTCTCCTGCATTGTTAAAAGCTTTTAGGGAGATCACATAATGAGAACTTGACTCTAGAGAGAAAAAACAGAAACAAAATGAACACATTGATTTATTCAGTGTACTGAAATACTTATGACAAACATTTTCCTGAAAACATATTTAATATAATCTATTAAGTAAACTGTTATTTAAAAAAAATATGTTGGTTTCTGGGAAGAAGGTAGCAGCATACGCAGTTTCTGATTTTCCTGAATCTGAGCAAGAAAAAGAGATTGAGTGTCTCAGCCAAAAACCCAAAACATATGGACAATGTTCGTAACAAAACTAGCTGATGAAACATGCCTCAAACTCTAAAATATAGATGCTATAACAAATAGGAGTGGATTAACCATCAACGGCCTTAGATCTTGCATGCTATAAGTAGAAATACAGGGAGCGATCAAGCCTGAAAACAAGATAGCTCTAAAACAGCCAGTAGGTATCTCTGGAAAGTGAAGATGATCAGTTTGAGACAGTAAATATAAATATTCAAAACTGAGTTGCGAGGCCTCCGACCCAGGACTGAGTCTGCCTTAGGGAGAAACTACTGGAAGTAGATTTAAAATTTGAACAGAACAGAAGCAATAGAAATTAAAGGAAGAGAAAGTCCAGATAAAAGTGGAGGGGAGGACTAGCCAGGAAAATTCTGGAAGCAAGCTGTCATAGGTTTAGTCTAAACCAGAATTTGGTGAACTTTTGCTGTGAAGAACACAGATAGTAAATAATAATGCTTTGTAGGCTGCATGATATCTGTGACATAGTCTTCATTGTCTTTTACAACTCTTTAAAATGTGAAAAACATTCTTTTTCTCAGCCTATACAAAAATAGGATCTGAGACAGATTTGAGCTGTAGGCCTTTGTTAGCTGAATCCTGGTCCAGTGAAAACAACAGAAGAAGGAACTCTGGGTAGTTTTCCTTTTCTTAAAATTGCTGTAAAAAGATACATAGCACAACATTTGCTAATTTAACACTTTTCATGTGTACAGTTGAGTGGCATCAATTACATTAATCAAATTGTCCAACCATCACCAGTGTCTGTTGCCAAAATTTCCATCACCATAAACAGAAAATTTAATGTCTTCAAACAAGGACTCCTCTTTTCACCTTTCATCCCACCCCTGGTAACCACTAATAATCTTTGATCTTTGTACATATGCCTATTTCAGATATTTCATATGAGTGAAATCATGTATTTGTCCTCCTGTGAGTGACTTACTTCACTTAGCATAGTGTGTTCAAAGTTTATCCATGTTGTAGAATGTATCAGAACTTCATTTCCCTTTATGGCTGAGTAACATTCCATTGTTCATGACATGGTGTTTATCCATTCACCTGTGGATAGACATTTTGGTTGTTTCCACCTTTAGGAAAGTGTGAATAGTGCTGCACTAACATTGGTTTACATGTGTCTGTTTCCAGTCTAGATGCCTAGGCATGGAATGGTTGGGTCACATTGTAGTTTTGTGTTTAAATTTTTGAGAAACTGCCAAACCATTTTCCACAGTGGCTGAACCATTTTGCATTCCCATCAGTAATGGGTAAGAGTTTCAAATTTTCTACATCCTTACCAACACTTCGTTTTTCCTTTACTTACTTTTTAAAAATCTTAGTCATCCTCATGGGGATGAAGTAGTATCTCATTGTCTTTTTGATGTGCATTTCTTTAGTGGTAATTATGTTGAGCATCATTGCATGTATTTGTTGATCATTTGCATTTCTTCTTTAATGAAATGTCTATTCAAATCCTTTGACCTTTCTTTTTTTTTTTTTTTGACTGGGTGGTTTGTCTCTTTGTTACTAAATTGTAGGAGTGTTTTATAAATTCTGGATATCAGTCCCTGATCCAATATATGGTTTCCCAGATTTTTCTCCTAGTTTATAGCTTGGTTCTTCACTTTGGAGTTTGTCTTTTGTTGAAAAAGTTTTTATTCTTTTAAAAATTTAGTTTGATTATCATCAGACTTTCAACAGTAATACTTTATACCAGATGAAATCGGAATAATTATTTGGGATATCAAGATAAGAAACTGTGACTCAAGGATTTTATAGCAAACAAAGAAGTTCATTTTAAATATTAAAGGCACAAACTATTATAAACTTTCAAGTAATCAGAGAATATTCTTTCCTTGATTTTGAGAACTACTAGAAAATGAGCTTTAGACTTCCAAAATGACTAGAGAAAATTTAACTGAATAGTTAACTGCTGAATAATAAAGATAATGAACTAAGACTAAGAAAAAGGTTAGAAGAGAGGGTTTTTGTTTGTAATGTCTATGTGTTCTCATATTGTAGATATGTTGTTATTGTCATTATGTGCTATCGAGTCAGACCCGACTCATAGATATACTACACATTAGAAAAAAAGAGGAGCATGGGGACAGCATTTGTGAAAACAAATAAATGTTTAATAATTATTATTGGCAGAGATACCTTTTGACCCACCCATTCCATTTCTAGGTATATATCCTAAAGAAGTGAGAGCCATGACAAGAACAGACATATGCACACCCATGTTCATCATAGCACTATTTACAATAGTCAAATGGAAACAACCTAGGTGTTCATCAACTGAGGAATGGATCCACACAAAGTTTGGTACATACACACAATGGAATACTGTGCAACACTAAAGAATAATGTAGAATCTGCAAAACACCACATAATGTAGATGAACTTGGAGGACATTATGCTGAGTGGAATAAGTCAATCACAGAAGGACAAATATTGTATTAGTCCATTATTGTAAAAGTCAAGGAATGGTTTATCTATGGAAGGAAATTTTCTCCATTGGTTACCAGGGGTGGGAGGGAAGGGGAGGGAACACTGTTAGATAAGTGATTTGGGTAAAGAGAAGGGCAATGTACCAAATGTGAGTGATCAGTATGGTGGCATCGAGGAAGAGGAAGACATAGAGAGGTACATGGGAGGTACAGACAACAAAGATGAACCCTTTTGTACACACAGTACTGCGTTGTCAGTGAAGGCAAACATGGGTATACAGGTGGATAGATGGGTGGACAGGCTGAACTGCTAGATATGTCCATGAAGTGGAGAGTATACCTAAGACCATGTATAGGGTTGGCAGACAATGGTCCTGTAAGTGTATTTGTATGATCTGAATTCCAGGTGTATAGTAGAGCTGACAAGGGACAAGGTTGTAGGTTGTAGACACTTCTTGGTCACAGCCAGCTACCCAGAGGGAACGAGTAATTGGACCTGTGGGCTTGGGACCATAGTCACAGGGGACATCAAGATCAGTTTGCATAACACACCACACAAAACATTGTTCCACTTCCTACTTTGGTGACTAGCGACTGGGATCTTAAAAGCTTGCAAGCAGCCATCTAGATGCAACAATGGGTCTCTCCTCATCCAGAGCAAAGAAGAATGAAGAACACCAAAGATTCATGGAAAAAATTAGTCCTAGCAACTGGTACACCATGCAATCCTCAGCCTATATGACTATGAGACCAGAAGAACTAGATGGTGCCTGGCTACCACTGTCAACCACTCAGAGGAGGATCTATGTAACAGATCCTGGATAGAGAGGAAGAACAATGTGGAACAAAACTCAAAATCATTTGGAAAATAAAAAAGGGGGGGACCAGGTATGCTGGTCTGATAGAGCCTGGTGGAACCACTGAGACTATGGCCCCTAGCTACCCTTGAGGTGTGGAACTGAACCCACACCTGTGGCTTCCAGCCAAACAAAACACAGGCATAGGAGTTGAACATTTACCTGAGGTAGATACACTCCTTGGAGAGAATAATCATGGGAGAAAGAAGGGCTGTTTATGTACAGGGAGACAGCATAGGGGGCAGGGGTGCATGGAGGGATGGACACAGGGAAGAGGTGAGTGTCTGGAGGAAGTGGGAAGGGAGCTGTTACATTGTGGTGAATCATGGCTAATGTCATGAGGCAAAGTGTATGTGAACTGCTGTATGGAAAGTGAATTTGCTCTGTAAATTTTTACCCAAATCACAATTAAAAAAATAAATAAATAATTGGTTGTGGTCCAATTATTATGATATTCTTAGACTATTATAATATGGATGAAGCAAATGAGATATTATGTTGTTGTTGTTGTCAGTTGCCATCGAGTCATGTCTGACTCATAGCGACCCTATGCATAGTAGAATGAAACACCGCCTGGTCCCGTGTCAGCTCCATGATCCTTGCTATACTTGAGCCCATCGTTTCAGCCACTGTGTCAATCCATCTCATTGAGGGCCTTCCCCTCTTTTGTTGACCCTCCACCTTACCAAGCATGACATCCTTCTCCAGGGAATGGTTCCTTCTGACAACATGACCAAAGTAGGTGAGATGAAGTCTGGCCGCTCTCGCTTCCAAGAAGCATTCCAACTGCACCTCCTCCAGGACAGATCTGTTAGTTCTTTAACAGTCCATGGTACTTTTAGCATTCTTTGCCAGCACCACAACTCAAAAGCATCAGTTCTTCTTTGGTTTCTCTTATTAATTTTCCAACTCTCGCATACATATGAGGTGACTGAAAATGGCCTCATCAATGACACAATCATGGCTTGTGTCATGTGTACTTTAGTCCTCAAGGAAACATCCTTGCTCCTCAGCATTTGAAAGAGGTCCCTTACAGGCAACTTGCCCAGTGCTATATGTCATCTAATGTCCTGACTTCTACTTCCATTGGCATCGATTGTAGAGCCAAGCAATGTGAATTCGTTGACAACTTAAAACTTTTCTCCATTTATTGTGATGCTGCTTATAGGTCCAGTTGTGAGGATTTTTGTTTTCTTTATATTGAGATGTAATCCATACCGCAGACTATATTCTGCAGTAATCATATTGTTGTTGTTGTTGTTATGTGCCGTCGAGTCAGCCCTGACTCACAGTGACCCCTCCTTGGGTTTCTGAGGCAGTATCACTACAGAAGTAGGATTGCCCAACCTTCCTTCCGAGGAGTGGCTGGTGGGTTTGAACCGCCAGCCTTCTGGTTAGCAGTCAAGTGCCTTAGCCACTATGCAAGCAGTAATCATAAGAAAGTCCAATTCTC